TCGAAAATGTTAAAAGTCCACTGCAATAGTAAACCGAGAAGCAAACAAACCAGAACAAATTTTGAAAGTCTGTTGTTGATACTCATATACTTACCGCTAGTGTCGCGGTGAATGGCGAATAATTCTGCCAAGCCCAAGCAGTGTCTCCATGTGGGTTCAATTAAGTCCTTGCCCTTTCCTACCCCAAAAAGCAGAAAGTTCACCCCATCATGTTGGTCGCAATGTCAGATGCTTCTGGGCTGCCCTAAAAGTTTCACTTTTGGTGGCTTGAATGGAAATCCCCTCTAAACCCAAGCCAAAAAGCTAAGGGAACGGCTGGGAACCAGCAAGGTTTATCTACCCTAAAAGCAGAAATTCACTGACGTTTGCGATGTCAGATGTTTCTGGGTGTCACACTAAACCCAAAGCTAAAAGCAAAGGAAATGGCTGGCAACCCGAAAAGCAGAAAGTTCACTGATGTTTGCGAGGTCAGATGTTTCTGGGTTTCCCACTAAACCCAAAGCTAAAAGCTAAAGGAATGGCTGGGAACCAGCAAGGTTTATCTACCCTAAAAGCAAGCAGTTCACCCCATGATGTTTGCGATGTCAGATGTTTCTGGGCTGCCCTCAGATCCCCACTAAAAGTTCAACTTTTCGCGGGTTACATGGACAGCCAACCAAAAACCCAAAAAAGCTAAAAGCTAAGGGAATTCCTGGGAACCACCAAGGTTTCTGGGTTTCAGGGTCCACCCTCCCTGTCCCACGCCTGCATGTGCCGTCGCTGAGGCACTGCCCCCTCCCGCTGCAGGGCAGCGGCTGCCCGGGGCAGACCGGCGGCAAGTGGCACCGGGCGCCGCTGAAGCCCCCGCCTGGGGCCGAAAGGCGGAACACCCCTGCGGCGGGTTAAGCCATAGGCAAAACTTGGTACAATGGTCGACCCCCCCCCAAAAAAAAAACATGGCAAAGACTTGGACAGGCGGAAGAACCCATTTGTGGCTGGGATTGCTTCTTGCCTGAGATTTGATTTTGGATGATTTTGGCTCACATGAGTGCCCATGGCCATGGCTTGATTGACCCTCCCACCAATTAACATGGAACTTGATAGGCGGGGCCTGGAAGACCATTTTCCTTTTAAGGGACCTTGTCAAGTTCTATGTTAATTGGTGGGAGGGTAGTGTCTTGTACCCAAATCCCTGTCCTGATTGTTCAGCCAAAGGGTACAATGGCCAGGGTTGGGAGAATATTTTACAACTATTACCCCGTAACGTAAAGGGGGGGCCCAAAGAAGGATGCAAGGATTATGGGTCTGTCCCTTTTTAGGGGGACCCTCCCAAAGCTGTGGTTTTCCTTTTAATTTCCCGACGGTACCCCTAAAAAGACCGACCAATATGCAACACATCGCCGATTCAGAATGCAAAGGAGCTTCGCAGGAAGCCATGAGGCTGTGGCTGCAGGCACACTGCCCATCATGTCCGCAGGCGCCGTGCATGCCACAGTCCTATGCGCAAGCGCGACAGGGGCCCATTTTTGTATCCGGAGATATCCGGAGCCTGGAAAAGGGAGGTATTTGAAAAGGAAAACAAAAAAAGAGGCTCATGTCCAGGGAGAAAAAGGGAAAGTGTTGCCTGGGAAACCAAACAACCATGCCTTATTTTTGGGGGTCCTTTGTTTGAGGAAACACTCATGTGACAGCTACGAGGCGATTCTGGCAGCAGCAAGTAGTGACTGACGTCACTACCTACACCCAAATGAAAGAGTCATGCCGCCAGTTAACTCATTAATCTCCCGGGCCCCCAAGGCGCGTCAAGTGGTCAATGTCAGAGCTCTAAGTCTTGCGTCCGGCGGATTTACACTCCTAAACATTTCTGCTCACCGAAACGGACCGATCTCAGATCTACGGATCTTTGGCTGATAGCCGGCTCAAGAAAACTTCTGACCTAAGTGCTGGTTGACGTCGACTCCGAAGCCCAAGAAACTCCCCGACCTGGTGGCAGCTCAGGGGCTGCAGGCAGTCATGGCCCGTGAAGCCGGGCCTCTCACGGACTGCGCCCCTTTGTCCACCCCGCCGCCCCACGTTTTGCCGGCAAAGATGCCAAAAGATGCTAAAGATGCCAAAAGCACCCCTCCCGCTCATCGTACAAATCCGTACGAACTCGCGGTGGCTCCACCTGTATGTCCCCTAGCCCAAGTTGACACTAGATGGGCAACTAGTTGCCAAGTTGCCAACTTACGCTTGCCTTTGCCGTCTGCAGCTTAAAGAGTTCATGGCGCAAGCAACATGTTTGGTCGCCAAACCTGAAAGAGGATGAAGGTGCCAACAACAAGTCTTGCAAACCGGTCGATGGACAACATTTGTTTGAAAGACTACACACACGAGTGGCACAGAACCCTCTCCGCTGCATGTCCGCGCAAGGTATTCAACCGGATACTCCACGTCGAGAAGTAGAGTAGGACCAGCGATGGCTGAAACTTGTCTAAACAGAGCTTCAGCCCGCTTCAAACAGAACTCGAAAGAGGTTGCTAACGCTTCTCACTCCCTGCCCGTGAGGTTTCCAGTCTGCGGTTCCGGGCGTGGTGCACTGGCAGAGCCCATCCACACATTGCCCATGACCTCCGCACCTAAGTCCATGGAAACATGCCCCTTGGCTGCCAACTTTCACCATCCCCCCAATTTGTGGTTTTGAAGCTGCTGGCTTGGACGTTTGGTGCTTTCCACATTTGGTGACAAAAGGAAGCGAATTGCAAACCCCCGGCTTCCACCAATCCAAACCACCAATCAACTTAATTAAGGCTTCGTCCAACAAAGTCTTTGCACCTAACTTGGGCTGTCTCTTTCAGGTCAGCGTCACCTCTGGGCCTGCGGGCTGTTCTGGGCAGGGCTCGGAAGTCTCCAGCACCGAGACGTCGTTGAAGCACTCCGAGAGCTGGCCGCACACCCCGCATCCGAACGAACCCCGAACCGCAAGCCCACGAACTGGCGGTCGAAAGGAATGCCGCTTGGCGCCTCGCTTCCGGCGCCAGACATGCACAACTAATGCACCGCTCGAAACATGAACACGCCAGGGCGGACACCTGTCCCATCACCGTCAACGTGGGGCCAGGCAGCCGGCAAGGGCCCCCCAAAGGCGTTTTCAATGGATCCTGATGACATGTCAAGGTGGTACTGCTTGAGTGACGTACGGTGGTCGACATTTGTCTGAGCTTTTCGGGCGGATCTTCACCGACCCAATGTGCCACCCTGCGCCTGGCACCCGCCAAAGGTGAACATCTGCCCCCCCACAAATGCTGCAGCATGGCCTGGCGCAAACGGCCGTCACAGCAACCTCGCTTCTTCTGGGCGGCCCATGAAGGCCCCAGCTTGTGATAGAGCCTCCTTTGATGAGCAGGAAAGGAAATCCTGGGCCTCTTGACAGCGTTTGAACATGAAAACGTACTTAGTGCCAAAAAGCAAACAGAATTCCCACCCCTGGAAACCCGGGCAAGTTGCTACAATTCGCCAGAAACAAGGTAATCCCCCAAAAAGGACCTTCATCACGTTCTCATTTTGCACAGGCCCCAGACTGTACCAAGGGTTGGGACCGGCTACGATGCTGTCTCGATTCTAAAATCCCGTCGCGGACACAACCGACCAACACAAGCTGAAGCTACGAAACTACCCTATTTCAATGTGGATCGGAACTGTAGTCTTGACCCAGCCTTCCCTCTGTTTCCAAACGCCTGGTTCCGACGACCTGGCGCTGGTGACCGGACAAGCAGCCATGCTCAATTCCCAGGACCCATTGATGAATGCAGTGTGCAAAACTAAAGTGTGTGTGTGTATATAGATGTATGCGCGCATAAAGACACATACATATGCATGTGTATATGTTTATATATACATATGCTCACACCCCCATGACCAACTTTTCCTGAACAACATCTTGAAGCTCTGAGCAAAAACATGTTCTGCCTCTGCAAGAACCCCAGAAACGGCCGGATTGCCAAATATACACATATATATATATATATATGTTATGTGCAGCTCAAAGTTCCTGGAACTATTGTGGAACTTGCCTAAAATCTCTGCTGCAAACCAGGCGCCCTTGCTTTGCTTGATTTGCAGGCGCAGGCTGTGGCACTTTGACGATGGTTGCCAGGTCACCAAGGCAAGAAGCAAACTGTTTATCTTGGATGGCGCACATTAAGTAATCTAAGGAACATTCACTTGTTGTCATGTTGCCCCTTATTCATGGCAAGGAGTGAAGGGAGTTTCAATTTAAAAGTCTGCTTGAAGATAGAAAGTCTAGTTGAACTCTTCCCTTATGAAATAGGATGAACATTCTATATGATGTTCGTTTAACATCATATTTGCAAAGCAAGTTCGGCATAAGGTGCAGCATATAAGGAGCCTCGAACGGAGCTTTAAAGGGAGCATTATGGAGCATTGCAAGGACTTATAGGATAGGCAGCCTTCTAAGGAGCCTTATAAGGATATTTAAAGATTTATAATAAACATTGCAGGGAGCCTCAAACAAGAGCTTTGGCGGATTCACAAGGAATTGCACAGGGATCCTGAGACTGGCAACCAAAGAGCCTTAAGCAGAACTGACAAGGAGCTTCGCAAGGAGTCTCGGAAGCAGCTTTACAAGACTTATAAGGAGCTTTCTCGGAGCCTCATAAGGAGCTTTCTAGAGAGTGTTACAAGGGCATTTACACTGCGCCTTATAGTAATAATGAGCATTGTAAGGCGAATTATAAGGAGCGTTTAAAGGAGCTTTGTGAGTCAAGACTTTGAACGCAGTTATTTCCCAATGAAAGTAATCGATCTTGTTTCTGTGTGAGTATTAGCAGGAAGTCTTGCGGTGATAGCCATATGTGAGGTGCACAAGAAAGGGCAGACTTCTGCGCATTGCAGTAGTTTGGCCTTGCCAAGCATGTAAATTCCCTGGGAAACGCAAGAATCCAAGATGTTCAAAGACCCCAGAAACCTGCAAACCAATGTTGGTTTCTTGTGTTTTTGGAAAAAGCAACGGAGAAAGCGCTAAGTATAGAGCAATTCTACATTGTTTCTGCTGGACATGCTTCTGTATGAAACATGTCTGTCAAGCATCTGTTGCCCAGCCCCAATGCAACTCAAGGTCACCATCTGCTACGGAAGGAAAAAAGATGGGCCGGGGGTTGTGTGTGTGTGACCATACTACATGCAGGTTGTTCAAGCAGCCTTCGTGCAAGCACATCTGCCCTTCCTGGGCCTCCAGATGTGTTTTCCACTAGGACAATGGTCCTAAGATCAAGACCACAACGGGGTCCTTTTAAGGAGACAACCGCCTCAACCCCCCCCAACAACAGCGAAAACGGCAGTGGGGAACGGGTGCTGCTGGCCAACTTGGAACTTTAAACTAGCCCTTGCTGCCTACTGGCGAGATGCCAAATGCACCAACACTGCAATCCAAATGTGGAGGTTGGATGCCTCGCATTCTTAGGCCGCTTGCGTGCAGAACAAGAACGCGCAAGCACCAACACGAACAGACGAATTTCCTTTGACGGCTCATACAACACTCAACTCTTGCTTGAGGCATGGCTGAAGCAAAGCACCGCGGCCCAGTGCCCAAACAGCAAAGCCCGTATCCGCACTGCGCAACGCATACAGCGCATACGCACAGGAGATGCGTCCGAAAGCTGGCGGCCTGACATGTTTGCCTGCCTTGCTTTGTTCCTTCGGCCGCAAAAGGGTAGTGGTTGCAAAGAATGACCGGCGTGAACCGTGGTCAGCATGCGTGTCAAAGTGACAAGGGAGCGCGGCGTGTCAGGTGATCTGGTGAGTGGAGATACCTCCTTTGCAACAAACGAAGTACTTCACCGCTAGCAAGGCAGCTTGCCAATTGTCAGATTTCTTTTATAATAATAATAACAAAAAACGTGAGATGACAATATAGACAAACATGGCCCCTGAGGTGAGGGGGGCCATCATAGCAACCGTTCACCAAACCAACTTTTAACCCAGGTGTGCTAATTATCAAGGAATTTCAGGAATGGCGTGGAAGCCTTGTTGTGCGTTGCCCTCCCCAAAACCAAATATAGAGCCGAGGCTGGAATCTGGAGGAAGGTGGTTTTGGGAGTCCACCCATGGAGCCCCAGGGCCTCAGGTTCAGCGGAGCCCCGCGCCTTAGAGTCCAGCGGGTCGCTTGAGCATCGAAGCTCCAAACGTCACCGAAGCACCGGGCCTCGGTCGAACATGGCTGTAGATGGTTGCGAGATCCTCGGCACCACCTAAGAAAACCCCGGGAGAATGATTGCCCTGTAAATACCAACAAACAATGATTTCTCGGATTTCGTCCATCCACAGTAGCTGTCAACATCATCTCCAAACTCGAGCTTTGCGTTAAGGGACCCATATCAAGGAATTCGCAAGTGACGCAAGTGACCTCCTTCTCTTCAGGTGAACTCGCCATTTGCTACCCAGAAAAAAAGAAAGGAAGAAATGACTTCCTTGGCACAATGGACACGGAGGAAACTTGGGGTTCCGACCATGTCCTGAAACCAACAGTTGATCGAACGGATGGATTGTTGGATGGGAGGCCTCGACACTTGACGGATCCCGAGCGAGCGCTTGTGCAGCTCCGTTGTGGCTTTGCGGTGCCAGAGTGGAGCACCCGGGTTGGACAAGCCACCATGAGATGTTAGAAGACATCCCCTCGCAAGAGAAGAAGCATCTGCCTTTCCGAAAGCGCGCATGGCTGCTGCGCGGGGCTATCAAAACGAGGGAGCCCATCCGAATGCTAAACTTGCTGCCTATTTAGAACCGGGATTTTAGCGGGGATTGGGATGTTCACTGGGGGTACGATTTGGATTTTGACCCATGGCCATTTGAGACCCAAATCCGATGTTTCTTGCTGGAAAAGCTGAAATCTTAGTGGTTGTCCCACCAATTGCCCAAAACCTTGGTAAATGAAGCCAAAGGCTAAAACTTGCATAGATCTCTTGATTTTTGAGATTCGATGTTCATCTCCTGCTGGAAAATAGTGACATCTTCGTGGTTGTCCCACCAATCACCCCATGTTTTAATGGGGCCTTTGGATCAACCATGTCAAAAATCAGCACTGTCCAAAACTTGATGGTGCGATAGGCAGGGAATGAGAATCGAAATGACCTCAATAAACTATGCTCTACGGTTTCCTTTCAGGGAATCGCCAGATATTTTCATGGGTACGCTCTTGGAAGAGGACAAAATAAGTTTGATTTCCTGAAGTAAGGAGATTGGAAGGGATAAAGACCAAAATGCGACGCATCTTGGAAACCACTCCGCTTTTGGTACCCTCTCTCCCAAGTTATGGCACCTGACGGGGACCCGGTCCCTCCAAGAGGAAATTTATCTTCCAGGCCTCGCACAGGTGCCACTTTAGTGGGAGCAAGGGTGCCGTCTTTTGCTGCCTGTTTGGGTTTCAAGGGAACACCGAAAACTCACCTTGTCGTTTTATTATTATTATTATTGTTATGTATTTTGTTGGGGGGTCCGATTCCTAAAAAGCGACACACCTGTTGAGTGAATGTTAAAGGACCCTCTTTGGGGTGGACATTTGCGGGAGACACATGTCCACCACTTTTGAGGGTTATGAAATTCTGAGCAGTTATGGTAGTACCTTAGACTTTGGGTACCAGGTAGCGTATGACTCAGCTGAACGCTCTAGGATGATTTGAGCATCACCTTTTGGGCTTAAGATTCGGTTCTTTTGGTTTGAATCTTATAAAATGAGTTTAAACTTAAACCATGTAAAATATTTGGTTGCCGTGTGGGGAAGCCCCAGTTGTCCACTGGATTCTTGGCGGTTTTTTCTTATGGAACTCCACAAGGGTTCCCTTTTTCTTAGAGGTTCTGAGGCTGTTGGGATGCTCCTTGAACTTGCTCTTTGTTTTGCGTGGTTTGGCGTCAGATTCCTTGTTTCATGTTCCTGGAGCACAGGGAAGTGTGTGTGGACTGTTTGGTCTTGCTTGCTTGATTTAGCCATTTCAATGAATCTTGTTATTGCTTGGACCCTGACACCATTTGCATGAACCCTGAGGACCTGCAGTTGGAGCCCATTTTGGTAGGTCTCCCGGAGGTCTCCCGGAGTCCAACTCCCCGTGTCACCGTGTCACCGTGTCACCGACCGTGTCTCCGGGCCGCGCAGCCGCCGGCCACCACGAGCTGGCGCCCGTGGCGCTGCGCGCTGTGGGCCTCGGAGCGAGGACGGGGCTTGATCCGCTGGCCAGGTGGCTCCAAAATTTTCGGAACTCCAAGATGGGCCCGGGCGGTGAGTGGAAACATGGACCACCCTGCGGCTTGCTTCTGCTGTTTGATTTAGAGCCACATGGGTGGCCCACGAAACATGAACAGGACCAACCAGAAGAACTCCAAAAATGTGGGGATATCAGCTTTTGGGGGCCGAACATGGAAGGGGAGACCTTGAAAAGGTGAGATCCAGCAATTGAATTCCCAACACCAACCTCAAGAGGGAACCCAAAGGCAAACAAAGCGAATCCGTTTCTTGGGAACAAACGTGTCCTGACATGGGCGCCCGCCCTCTTTTGCGGTAAGTTGCCCTATCTGCAGAGGATCCCGGCCGAGCTCTGAGACATGCGCTGCTTTACGTGCTCTCTCTGTCGTGCAACCTCAAGGCCCTTTTTCTCGGAGAAAACATGCAGCTTCAAAGGGCTGGAAGTTGAATTGAACTTGAACCCCGAACACGCGAAGCATCCATCCAGGGCCCGGGAAAGTGAGACCGATTCCGTTTCGTGGAGAAGCTCCTCGACGTATTTCTGTGCAACCACTGACCCAAACCACTCACCCCGGAAAGCAGCCCCAATGCCAGAGACATGCAACTCGCTGGTTATTTGAGTGAAACCCAACAAAACAAGCTGCCTGCTGCTCCTTTCGCTTTGTTAAACGCCCAAGCCAAGGATTGCCGTGTCTTTTGCCAAACCAAACGGTTCACCTCTTTTTTCTGTGAACAAAACCCGCGGCGCCCGAAAGCTCTCGACCGCCGGAAACGTCACCCCACTTGCCGCGCCTGGCGGGGCAGTGGCTTGGTGCCCGAAGCCTCTAGTGGCTTCCAGCGCTGCTGCAGGATGTCGTACCTGACGGAACCCAGCGCTTGCTGTGTGTTTCCCATGGGCGGGAACCCGCAAAAAGGGGGGGGGTTAAAGGGAAACCAAAAAAGAGGAACTGTATTTATAGAGGGGTGCCGGATTTTCGAGAGATACGAGCTTTTCTTTGGTTTCTCTTTAAAACCATCTCTTTTGAATGGCTTTTCTTCCATTTTGGGACATGCTTAGACTTGAAGAAGTATTGTTTCAACCACAAATGGGGGCTCAGCCTAACTTTAGCCCAACATGATTCGGATCCCCTCTAACCGATCCAACCCGAGGTTTACTAGAAACAATTGGGCGGTGCAACTACTGTTTAAGCACCTATTGCTTAAACCACCTGCTTTGGGATTCCCTCTTTAGGGCTGTCAGGGTCTGGTCAAACAAACCAATTTTCGCCCAAACCTATCGATCGGCGTCCCTGGCAAGCCGAAAGACCCTGCGGTGAAAAGAAGGCTCTCTGCTCTCGAAAGACACACTCGGGATCTTCGATGGCTCGTCAGTGCCCAGTAACCAACCAAACACTTTCTATCACTCCTGCAAGAGAGAGAGAGAGAGGGAGAGACAGAGAGGGAGGGAGAGCAACAACATGACACACACACGCACACAGAGAGACAGGGAGACCTCGTCGGCCAGCTTCTGACAGAGAAGCAGGCCCGGTTTACCATCCTTCGAACAAACAAATACAAAGGCGCAAAATTCAGAAGGCTGCCAAACGGGGTGTGCCCTTGTGGTTTCTCTTGTTCGCTTTAACGTCCAGACAATGAAAACTGTCCTTTTGAAACTGAATCGTTCCCTTCCACATTTGCACCCTGTTGGAATTGACAGTTGCTGGGTGATAGAAGAACCAAGGAGGGCAAGCAAATTAAGTGCATGAAAAGCCTCGATGGCTGAGCCCTGCCGAACCCAATCTCCAGTGCTCTCAAGCCGAGATATTAATATCAAGCCATATGTGTATATATATATATATACATATATATATATAAAGATCACATTTCACGCATGAGCTCGTTTCTGCCAATCCCCCACTGGGCACTTTTGTCTATGTGCGAATCTGTACTGGGACGGGCGCTCACACCCATCCCATGGCTGCGCGCTCCATTGAGGCTGCGAAATGATCCATCCGGTTTCAGCGAACATGCTCGAAGCCACCACGTTCCAAAAGAATTTGGCGACGTCAAACTGTCCGCGCTCCTTGGCCAATCCGATGCCCAAAGAGCCAACTAAGACTTGTTGTTTTAAAGGGAAAATGAAGGATTTCAGAACGCAACAATTCCAACAATATATAAACGCAGTGTAATTGTTGCGTTCCCCAGTTCCAACTATTCTGCTATTCCAAGAAGTATGAATGTGGGCCTTGGCCATTGGCGGCCTTCTCAAGACTGTAGTCTCCAGAAAACCCTTCTCTGGCTGCAACGCGCGCAGAAAGCTGAAGTGCCAAGCCAACGGGGTGCTAAACCGGGGTGCTGGACATAGCTGCCAAATGAAACCAATTGCAAGTCTAGGTCCTCCAGTAGAGAGGTTAGAAGAAGGGTACCCTCTTTTCTGTAGTCTATTTTTGTAGGGGAACCCTCCCCCAAAAAAGGATAAAAGGGGACTGGGGGACTACTGGGGGACTAGAAATACAAGTATCAACAAAAACCGGTAACCAAAATGTCACTTCGAAGTCTGGCAACTCTCACGGCGGCTGGATGCCAAACTTCTCCTGCTGAGCCTTCACCTCAGCGATGTACTCCTTCATGGCGTCATCCTTGGACTTGCCCTTGACGCCCTCCCAGGCATCCCACTTTGCCTCACGTGCGGTTAGCGGATACAACTGGTGTCCTGCAAACAAGGAAACCCTGAGAACCTTTGCAGTTGGGAGGGCTTCGCGGTGGCGTGTAACAAATCATTGGGATTCTCGGAATACAACACATCCTACCCAGAAAACAAGGCCGGGCAAAACTGCCAAGCTCGGCTGACTGCGTACGGCTAAAGATTCTGACTGTAATGCGCTCGCTTATTTGAGACATCCTTCAGGCTCCGGTATGCCCTTGCATCAGGATTCCAAAAAATAAGCTCGTTGGCCGGGAATTGAGGTTCATTGTCGTTGCGTGTTGATCTCTTGGGTTTCATGGTTTTTGCCTTGTTGACACAAACGTTCATCTCGGGCAGATCTTGCCCGTGTACCCTATCGCAACAGATGAGCTCGCTGTCCTGCCTTGGTCTCCCACTGCACGGACCATGGCGCCGACGCGGTGTTGTCACCCTCCTTGGCCTGCTTGAAAAGGCCATACAGCTTCAGCTTGTCCTGGCTCCCATTGGAATCTAAGATGGTTCCGTCGTCTCTGCAAATTAACAGGGAACCAGACTCAAAGGAGATTCCACCACGAATGAGGGGGTGTTGGAATCCAAGGGACAAGGTTTGTCATGGCCGCCGTTGCCTCCAAGCGTTTCCGTTTCACTGGTCGCCCCCCAAAATGGCGGGGCTCGCCTTTTCTTCTTGTCCCTTCGACGCACCCACCCACCCACCCACCCACGCAAGGTGGTTTCCCATAGACCAACCAAGGGAGGTGTTGAAAGGAAACCTACCGCCCACAAGTCCTCGGTGCTGGCGCTGCCTGTCGTAGGCTTGCCTGGAGACACCCCCAGAAAGCCGGCTGAAGCTGTGTCCAGTTCTGCCACCAACCGCGGGCTTATTTTGAATCCACAAAGGGGAAATATGTGAGGGACATGTTTTTTAGGGGTGCACCCTCCCTCCCTGCTTAGAGGATGGGGGGTCAGAAATCGGACGTAGAACGGCACCCCGCATGGGCCTTTGTCAATTTTGGGTGGTTTATGCCTTTTCGCCTCACTGACTTTGTGCAGAATAGGGGGGGTGCTATATATATATATACACACATAGAGATATATGTGTACATAGAAATACCTACACATGTAAAATTATGTCACAATTTGCCATCTTCCAGGTGTCTGCATGACATGCGACACGCTAGCTTTTGTTTCTCAAAAAATGGGGTTCAAGAATCTGAGACTTGTCTTTGGGAATCGGACAACTATTGGTTGAATTTGAAATCTTGAATCTTGAGTCCCAAAATGCTCATGTCAAAACAACAGCAACTGTTGAACAATTCTAGTGTTGTCCCAACACTCCAGGCATGCTTCATCGACCAAGTGCTCGCGTTCGTCTGCAACCCTACCAGCTTCCCTAGTTCCGGCAAAGGCCGGATCCAAAGTACGAGGACAACATTCTCGGGAAATGTCCCGTGAAATCTTCAATCTTGAATCATCAATCCAATGGCAAAATACGTTCGAGTTTGAACCATTTGACACAATTTGGGGGCCGGGTTGAAGGTTCTCGGAATCTTGAACCTTCATTCCAGTTGTTAACTACTTTCAGGTGTTTAGCGATCCAGTGTTCCCGTTTAGAACATCTTACAAGTTTTCGTTGGCGATGCTTCATGTAAGCTACGCTCAAGCTTCCAGGACGTAAACATAGGTAGGTGAAATGCTCGAAAACGATGAATTTTGAAGAGGCGCAAGTTTCTGACGGTTACCATATGTGTGCATAAAGTGCATATATGCGTGCTCACCCCCTCCCCCTAAGAATTACCTTTGCACATCTACTCATTCCTTACCTCTGCCTTTTGAGGTAGAATGACATATGCCTCCCTACCCAAATAGGACTTTAAGCACAACTGTTTTAACAAGAATTGCTTGCTTGAGATAGATGGGCAAATGTGTCAGTCTATCTGCATGGTGTATGTATGTATGTATGTATGTATGTATGTATGCATGCATGCATGTATGTATGCATGTATGTATGCATGCATGCATGCATGTATGTATGTATGTATGTGTGTGTGTGTGTATGTATGTATGTATGTATGTATGTATGTATGTATGCATCTGCACATATGCATGCATGTATGCGTGTACCGGTATGCATGCATGCATCCATGCGTGTATGCGTGTAAACATGAAAGTATGCATGTACGCATGCGTGCAAGTATGTGTGTAGGCATGCATGTATGCGTGGATGAAAGGATGTGTGCATGGCTGTATGTACGCATGTATGTGCGTACTTCTTTGTTTTCTTTGTGTGTATTTATTTGATTGGTTTCTTCATTTAGATACCTACTTGTTGGTGTATGTGTGCATGTGCAATCTTTTTCTGGAATATGTATCTATATGTTCTCGCATATACATGGGTGCACCTATGTATATATATGTGTCTTATGTTGTCACATATACCAAAAATGTGTGGGTGTGTGGGTGTATATGTACACATGTGGGGTAGAGCCGGCGAAGCCGGTGAGCGGAAGCCAAAAACTCACTATAGGGGCGCTTGCTTTTGCTTTGGCGATCTCGTTGAAGTGTATACAAATGTATATGCATACATGTTTGTAGTAGTGTGTATGTATGTACATATATTACATATACGTTGGCTAGATTTAATACGCATGCCCACGTAATGGATCAAAACCTGTACGGGTAACCGCGAGGGCAGGAAGCACGTGCGTACGAACGTATGTACGATTTTGTACGGACACGCGCGCGAACACACGGGCGGCGTACGGACGTGTGTACGGACATGTGCGCGGGACGTACGGACGCAAGCGCGTGCGTGTGCACGGAAAAACGCGCAGATAGGCAGACGGATGTACGTGCGGACGTACGGACAGCAGCCGCGTGCTAGGGACGCGCGTGAACAGAAAACCACGGCCTTACTTCGAAAATACGTCCTTATTTTTGCGGGCGGACGGATGTATGTACGCCCATACGCCCGTACGCATGCCTGTACGCACGCCTGCGCGCATACACCCGCACGCACACCCTTGCGCCCCTACATACGCCCGTACGTGCGCCAGCACGCAGTACACCCGCACCTGTGCCCGTACGCGCACACGTACAAGTGGACTCGTCCATGCCGGAGCAAATGTGGTGTCATTATGCTCTGCATGCCGATTGAACAAAGCCAACATATAAGTTCGTTTCTGTTTGTATGTACTAAAATGGGTCCGGACCCCTCTACATGTCCGCTCTGGCCCTGCCTTTGGCAATCAGCTCGGCCGCCGCCTCAAACTGCGCCTGCAGGTCTGCCATTGCTCGCTGCGCTGTTGCGGGCGCACGAATATGGGTCGGAGTCTGAGCCAAAGGCCGGACACTCCATGCTCAACGAACACCTTCATTTGGCCATGGGTCAAAATCCCGTGCCCCCAGTCAACATCCCAATCTTCTAAAATAGACTACAATGGGTGGTGCACCTGCCCCAAAAATGGTACGATTGGCTTTGACCCACAGCCATTTCAATGAATCTTTTTATTGTTTGGACCCTGACACCATTTGCATGAACCCTGACCTGCAGTTGAGCTGTGGCCTTAAGTGGCAAAAGCAGGCCTAGAGTTCGCTTTCGCCCGGGCAGTTCAATTCGAAACCCGAGGCCCAAGGACCTGGGAGTTGCTGCGATGCTTTCGAAAAGCCCCCCGCCCCCCCTCCCATCGAGCCTAAGCCGACCCACCCCATACGCCAACATGTCCCAGTTCCATTGCTGGAAATCGCGAAGGACCGATCTGACAACATCAACCCCATCTCAGTCCTTCTTGAAAACAAAAGGGTTCCTGGCGCCTAAAACACTCCGACCCCATCCAGACCCCATCCCCCTGGCCGCACGCATGGAGGTCGTTGAGCTCAGCTTCGGCGCCCCGCCCTCCAAAGAGAAGAAGCTGCCTGTCGCTTTCGCGCGGGCGCTCGCTCTGGTTTTGAGGCGAGCGACCACGGAAACGCGGGCTGAAGTCCTGGGTGGGTTTCCACTTAGAGGCTGAGCTCCCAGAATGCGAGATGCGCAAACGAAGGGACTCTGGGGGGAATTTGCTCCAAAGAAATCCACGTACTTCTCTTGCTGGGGGTCTGCAGGCGTACTTCAATGAGAACGCCATAATTACCAATGTCAGCTGGACCAGGAAGCTTCCTGTCCGACTCTGGCCGGGTAGGAGCCAGTTTATGTCTCCAGGGATCTGGATCTCGACGGTTTTCCTGACAAAGGCCCTCAAAGTGCAATTCCCTTTGCCATACAAAAGACAGGGCATCTTGGCCTGAGGTCCAAGACCGCGCAAATGGGGAGGACTCTTGCGGGTTGATTCAAACAAAGGAAAACACACATACACACACACACACACCTGCAATTCAAGTGTGGCTCCCGAACCCTCTTGGAATCAACTCTCGAAAACAAGGGCTGTGCTTGGTGTTTCCCCGACGGTTGGTTCTGCTTTTGGAGTCCCTTTAAACCGGAGGGGTCTCCTTTGACAAACTCATGCAAATCTTCATGCTCTTTAACATGTGCGGTTTCCAGCTTCTTCAATCAGGTTGCAAGACTCGAGAACGATTTCGCTGCCTGTCCAGCAGCGTCAGCGAGTGACCCTCTCGTGGCGATGGTGCCTTCGAATGGCCGGCTGGTGGTTGGGGAACCCGAGGTGGACATTACATGGCCATGGGTCAAAATCCAAATCGTATCCCCAGCGAACATCCCAATCCCCACTAAATCCGGCTAAAATGGGTGGTGAATTCACCTGCCCCAAAATGGGCTCCCATTGGTTTTGACAACCACAGCCACATGGGAAATCTATGTCCAACAACCATTTCTGGAGGGTGCCATGGAGATGCATGGCCATTCCGAACACCCAATGCTGAGGCGAGGCTATTGACTTGAGCTGCCAATTGCCCAGGACAGATCTAGTGAACCGCAGAAAATGACATTGCCAGTGACCTCCCATTGGCTTTCCGTTGTTAGCCTTCCCATGACCATCGCTAAGCCTTGGATTGATCCCTTCGCCTCATCCTGAGGCCCCTCGGAACTCTGAAGCCAGCCATGTTCCAGCGATCAATTCGCCTTCATGCCTCTTTCGCGGCCAGTTTCCGGCCGCTCGAGCATTGCTTTTGTACATGCCATCCAAAGACCTGCAACCTCCTGAGCATTGGGAAGGCCAAATACAGAACAAAACAGGCTGCCAAACGATGGAACAAGTCCAATCGGTGCGATTTGTGCCCTTTGCCAAAACCCAAAGAAGCCAACAAGTGGCTGATTGCTTCTTCCTCAGCTCAGGCTGCAGTTGCGCTCTCGCTTTGGCGTTGGCAGTGTGAGGTGCCCGATCTTCAGGCCCTCTCATGCAGGCTTGGGCCACAACTTCTTTCAATCTCCGACTTCACGCCATGTTCAACGGTTGTAAAATAAATTTGAAAAAACAACTCGAAGTGGTTGGCATCATATTGGTGTCCCGTCAAGGAACCATAAGAAGCTCTGAAGGCCCAAATGCCCGCTCTCCTGCGACCTTCGCTCCTTAGAATCCAGAGCGCCAGGTGATGGGCAAAGTGCCTTCACTGCCATCGGTGGTGGCAATGCTCTGCCAGGACTCCATGTAAGCATCGAAGTCCAGCTTCCTGGTCAAGACTGATAGACAGAGACGTCATCGATAGTCTAAAATGTAACCACCGCAGAGCCCGTGAGTTTTCAGCTTTCTTTGGTTAGTGAACATCCTAAATACATTTCCTTTGCAGGTGTTCAGTTCGATGACAATCATCATTTCCAATTTTAGAGGCAGAGAGGACAAGCGGCACGTGCACAGACAGGTAGACGGGCGAGCAGACAGCCAAACAGGGGCACAAAGAGAGAGAGAGAGAGAGAGAGAGAGAGAAAAAAACAACAAACACACACACAATCAAACAATAGCCTCCCGAGTTTAGGGGAGGGGAGGGGAGGGGAAGGGGAGGGAGTGAGGGAGGGAGAGAGGGAGGGAAGAGCAGGGAGGCAGGGAGAGAGGGAGAGAGGGAGGGAGGGATAGAGGAGGGAGGGATAGAGAGAGAGAGAGAGAGAGTGGCACCTGGAGAACTCCTGGCTTGTTCGAGGGGTTGAGCTGAAGAGGCCATGCGTTTTGCATCCCACTTGAACGATCCGCTTTGGCTAAGTGGCAAGATCTCAACTGGAAATCGCGCAAAATTGGCTTAAACAAAGGACCGGCACCCCATTTGGGCGTAGCTCAAAATAGATACCCAAAATGGAACCCTGGTCAATGGACACATGAACTAAACTATGCGGCCCATATCCTGGTTTAATTTTGACCCACACTGCTGGATGCCACGAACAAAAACCAAGCAAACCAAGCACAACACAAAACCTCCAAAACAAAAAAGTTTTCGGAGTTTCCTTCCCTTCCTTGCGATGGCCGGAATCGGCATCCATACCCATTTCTTTAAAATCGATGGAGGTTGGCCCAAGGGGAAAGAAGCATCCGATGGCAAAGGCACCCGCGATCACAAAAAAGAAAAGAAAACGCGCGCCTTTTTGAAAACAAGCGAGGAATCCCTGGATTTTAGGCAAACCAGATCCACTTTGCGAATGTCCCCTGGTTTCTTGGAGCAAAGGCATCTGCCCAAAATGCCTTTGACTTCTCACCTTCCATCCTTCCAATGCGGGGACGCCTGGTCCAGTCCAGCAATCGGTCATCATCGACCTCGGGCTCGTCCACGATGTGCCTGCTGGGAAAGCTCAGGGCAGAGTCAAAGCTTCTTGATAGGTTGGTCAACTCGGAGCCTTTGAAATTCTACATGGCTGGCAGGGTCAGTGTGATGTTTGCGTTGTTTTTTCTTCTCTTCCTTATTTTTGCGCCACGTCTCTTTGGAGGGCCTTATGTTGCAACTCAAAAGCCACAACAGGCTTGAACACGAAAAACACTCCTTAACTAGAAGGCCTTAAAGTGTCACTGAGGCAACTGAAACAAGAAGAAATACAAAGGTTCGAGCCCCGTTCTCCCAAGGTTGGCAGTTGTCTCAGCGGAGCCAGTTCCTATGTAGGTAATCAAGGGAAGCACCCTTTAAAAACACAAGGAAAATGGCTTGTTACCTACCCCGGTCGATCCCAGTTACCACTACCGTAAGCAACCGGGAAATTTCCCCTTGGCTTGTGAAGGGTGGCTCCCTTGGTTTCTATACAGGGAGGAGATGGACTCACTGGGTGCTACAGAAACTGGGATCCACTGGGTGTGTTTCCGGGGATGACCCTTTGCCCTCCACCTCCTGGGCGTTGGCCCCTCGCTCGCGCTCGGGCTGTCCTGGTGTTTGCAAGAGCCCAATGGGCATGGACTGGTTCCGACAAGGATATGTGGGCTCACCTGGGCCTTGCTTTTTCGCCTGTGAAACCAGACAGTAAGCAGACAGGCGGACGGAAAAAGAAACAAAGAGACCGACAGACCGACGGACGGACGGACGGCGGGCAGGCGGCAGGCAGGCAGACAGACGATAGACGTACAGGAGGAGACAAAGAGAGACAGACAGGGAGACAGACGCAGAGCGAGAGAGAGAAAGAGACAAAACACACACTGAAAATACAAGAAAGAAAGAGAGAGGACAGACAGGACGGGACGGGACAGGACGGGACAGGACGGGACGGAACGGGACAGGGCAGAAGAGAACGGGACAGGGCAGAAGACAGGACAGAACGGGCATGAGAGAAGAGGACAGGACAGGACAAGTCAGGACAGGACAGGTAAGACAGGACAGGACAGGACAGGACACGGCAGGACAGGGCAGGAACTGGACAGGCAGGGCAGACAGCAAAGACAGGACAGGACAAGACAGACAGGACAGACAGGACAGATAGGTCAGGCAGGACAGACAGGACAGACAAGACCAGACAAGACAGACAAGACCAGACAATACCGCACAAGCAAGCAAGCAAGCAAGCAAGCAAGCAAGCAAGGAAGCAAGCAAGGAAGCAAGAAATAGCCCCCGGGTCCTCATTGGGATGAAGGCCATAGAGCTTTTGAAACCACTCGATCTTCCGCTTGCGCCGCTTCACCTCCATGTCCTCAGCTTGGTTTTGATCAAAAAGCCACTGCGGTTGCAGAGGGCTCCCCACATTTCCCCTTACATCACTCCGCTCCACATCGCGCCATTCTGGGTGTGGCTCAAGTTGCTCTTGCGGTTAGGGAAGGCGAATGGACAGTTGCAGCACTATTGCATACACTCCGTTCGGTTCTACCCACACTATGAACGTTCAAAAGCCATGACTCCAACACCCGCTAGATCAGGTTGCAGACCCCCCCAAATCCAAGGGCCAAGGAGGGTGCTTGCATGACGAAAGGCTGATGTGGGGCCCTTCTGGCCTCTTAGGTAGACGAAGCTACTGAAAAGGCCCATCAGGGTATTGCTCGGGGAAGCCTGGTGTATCCCAAAAATGGGATGCTCAGTGGCGTCAGACCGCCAAAAACGTGGTAAACACCGGCGGGAAGGAGTTTGGAGGCCCGCCTGGCGCCTCCGCAGCTTGGAGTGGTGGAAGCCCTTAGGCGCCGTCACCACCTTCTGCTGCTCCTGGCGTACGAAATATCCGGGCGACGTGGATGTTCGTTTTTTGTTTGTTTCCTTTCCGGAAAGCTGGTATCCACGGCTTCGATCCGGAGAACGTCTCAAACCCGAGCGATCCTTGGCAAGGGTTCCAGGATTGTAACGAGAAGTCGGAAGCTGAAACAGTTCTCATAGTTTCCCGGCAAGCTTCGCTCTGGCTACCCCTGGTGGCATGCATCCTTTCATGCTGGTGGCCTTGGAGCCTCCAATTTTCCGGACGGATTTTGCCCCTCAAGGGGGTCATCAGCTTCATGTTCGCTCCCAGCCAAGAAAGTGCACCGGACCCATTTGCAAACCTCTGGAACTGTATTGAAACAACTTACCCCAAAAATAGACCTCTCTTCTCCCAATATTTTTGCATCAAGCCTGCCGCGATTTTTTTCTCAAAACAGCTGGGGGTTTGTCAAACCCTTTCTGGGCCATGGTTTTATGTTGGGGCCGCCTTTAAACGGGGGGGGGGGGTCCGAGAGTCCATATTTCTACGACCCACCAGCTGGTTGGGACCTCTCCTTGTCCTTCTCCTCCTGCAGGCGTACTGCCAGCGGGCGCCAGCCATTGTTCTCCACCCGCCGGTACCAGCCCAGGTCTGCGCCGGACACTTCTGTTGCGGGTGACCCCCCAAACTGGTGACGTTCCTCGTTGTTGGCCTTTGAAGACACCAGAAAAGGGTCTCAAAAACGGCACGCCCATGCAGATGGTTGTTCAACTTCACACTGAGCCGAATGGAAAGAAAACTAACAATCTGTGTAGATTCGGTGGCTGCAGACATCTTGCACCCCCCCTCTTTCCCCCCCCAAAAAAAACAAAGAGTTGACAAAGGGAAGCAACCACCTCCCTTCTTGGGTAGGCACTTGCCCCCACCTCCCCCGACTCGCCTGGGATGAACTTCTGCTCCGCACTGACGCGCTCGTGGTGGTAGTCCCGGGGCGCGAAGGCGCCCAGGTCCACCACGTTGCCGTGAGTGTAGATCTTGTAGAAGATCGAGGGCGGGAAGCTGATCGATTTCGTTTCGACGCCCCAAAGGTCCCACGTTGTTTTGAAAAAAGAAGTCGTCAAAAGGTCTTTGTCTGAATGGAAGTCCTATGCCTTCTATTGGTTCTGGCGGCTTGCTACCCAAGTTGTTTCCAAAGCTCGGGCGCGGGCAAGGGAGGGAGACATTCCGACTGCGATGATCCCGAAAAACGCGCGCGCCGCTGAGCGGTGGGCAACTCGAAGCAACTCGAAGCGCAAGACGCCGCAAAACGGCAAGATGCCCAAAGGACGCCAAAAGGCAATCATTTGACCAGCGCGAATCTGAGCTGGAGGGAGATTTCTGAGAATTATAAAGGAGACTTGGCAGGAATCTAGCGGCCACCGGGAAAATAAAACCCGAGGAAATCTCACTCCGCTCCCCTCGCTACACCCCTTTTTGGAATGGGTCCCAGCCAATGTCAAGGCTTGGGGCCGTTTGGCCGGCAAAGTAGTTTTGTCACGGCCTTTGGCGACATGGCCATGGGTCAAAATCCCGTACCCCCCAGCGAACATCCCAATTCCCACTAAAATAGGCTCTAAAATCGGTGGTGCACCTACCCCAAAATGGGCTCCCATTGGTTTTGACAACCACAGCCACATCGCAAGAATCGTCCCCCGAACCGAGCTGGAAACCCATGGCACCACGATCTTTTGGGCTTGATGAGCCTCCGTTGGCTGCCCTTTGACCGGCCAAAATGGAAGATGGGTCCGAATCCCATTTTGAGACACCTCCATGAAAGGGTTCCTGGGATACATCTAGCCATCTTTGGGGAATCCTCTGAATTAGCTAAGAGTGGCTTTCTGACTGGCCCCAGGGAGTCTATCAAAATGGATCCTCTTTGGTTGTTCTTTGTAGGGAAAAAATCAAAACCGACCCAATTTTGGGACCACGATCAACTAACTGGGATCAAAACATGTTACAGACGAGGGGAACCCTAGAAACTGTTCAAGGGATTCCTAGGGGTTTTCCCTAAAAACGGGAAGGGGGGGGTGGGGCGGGGACCGAAGCGCGCGCTGGAAGAAGCGGGTTGGCCTTGGCCCGCCCAAGCGGAAGCGCACGTGCAGCTGCAGCGCAGGGTCCAGCAAGACGCTCTCCCGCGCCAGCACTGCCCGCAGCAGCAGGTACGGATCCCCACTCCGCCGGAACCTCTTTTGGCGTGGAAGGGACAGAGCACGGATTTTCCTTGACCTGGAGTCTCCATGACCCCTAGAAAAAGGGGTCATAACCCCTGAATTTTGGGTAGGGTCATGGAGACTCCAGGTAGGGGCTTCCCTTCAAAGAACAACCAAGAAGGGGGGTTCCACTATTTTCACAAACGATCAAATGAGAGTGTCAAAGTAGGGCGGTCCCCCCCAAAACGTGCTTCTCCTTTTGGTCCTGAAAAAACCCAACGAGACTACGCCCGCCAAAAAAAACAAACACATTGATTCAGAGCCGTCGGGAGCCGGGATAGGAAGATCCTACAACTCATGGTCCTCAACGTGCCCCAAAGAGTCACTGAGAGTCACTAGACTGCAGCTCTTGTAGGAAGCAAGGAAAAAGAGCCGAACATCACCGGCACAGGTCGGCTGTGAGGCTTGGCTCCTTTTTTGAACACCACAACGCGAAGGAAGTCTCGCCTTTTGAGGCTTGGCGCCCCCAAGAAGGATGTTTTCGGGGACACTAAATGGAAAGACCCACCCGTTCTATCGGGGGGACAAACAAGCAATGTCTGTTCCAGTCAGGGTCCATGGACTCGAAACTCTGGCACCTGAAGCCTGTTGCCATGCTCATCTTGCGAGGTTCCTGCACAGCTTCTGGATGCTGTTCTTTAAGCACCCCTGTCTTGTTGGTATGAGCCAAACGGATCTGACCTGCAAAAGAGCCAACCTGTTGCTGGTGCCTTCAAGAAACACCAAAGGCAAGAAGGTAGAAAGGCAAGCCTTTGGTCTGGCAACGAAAGTCAAGCAGTCAAGTAGGGCCAATATGAACATGCTCCCTGCCCTGAAGAACAGGTCTTCAGCTGCTTGAAAGCCGTTCCCATGCCAGAAGCAAGTTGTGTTAACCCTGCCGCCCCCACTCTAAATCCGTTGGAGCCCCTCAAAAGGGAGCCGAAACGAGGTGAGTTGGTTACAAACCCAGTCAGTCTGGAAGCCCAACCTGTGGTTATAGGTGGAAACCTGCCATGTGGCTCTGTATCCGATCCAAACGAGAGAAACAAAACAAGACGTTTCCCTTTTGCATCCTTTTAGCTTCCCTTGAAAGCAACCAGAACAACACGCAATTCGTCTCGAACACGGACACCCTGGTCAGCTTTCCCGATTGAATCGAAGGGATGCCAAGGGAATGCCAGCCCTCAAAGGGACCTTCTGACAGCGCTTTGGACATAAGTCCGGCATACTTACAAATAGGTCAAAGTAGATGGCCCAATTCCCCCTCGCGTTGTGCCATCTACGTTCACCCGCAGGGGGACCGTGACATGTCTCATACGAAAATTGTCTACCTGAAGTCTCCATGACCTCTAGATTTGCTTTTGGGTAATGACCCCATTTTTTAAGGGTCATGGAGGCTCCAGGCAAACAGGACGCTACTCTGACACCTCACGGCCAAGCTGCATGGCGATGGTCTCTCGCAAAGTTCCGTAGATGTGTGTGTCCCTGTGGCCCCGCCACTTGCGCTGGATCTTTTTGGCCGCCTGGCGAAGACACTTCTCTTGGGTTGCTTGGGGTGTGTGCTCACCAAAATGTAAGCTCAGGTAGAAACACACAACAGACCTCCTGGGTATGTCAAAGGCCGGGACTCCTTTCAGGATGGCTTTGAGACGATGTCAACATAAAACCAACCCTTTCGGATCTAGCCCCTATGCACAGAGGAAACTATGATACCTTTGCAGCGAACATGCTCACGTCAACACTTTGAGAGGACTGCAAGCTCGCATTGTGCCTGCTGATTGCAAACACACATTGCAACTGGGAGCGATGAACTTTGCCATTAACTTTCTGTTTCGCTCATTCGCAGTATCTGGAATCTGGCCGAAGGCTAATTATTGTGGCTGAGAAGCCAAACACAAAGAACAGACAGACCAAACAAGGCTCAGGGGACCTAAACGGGTTCTAAACAGTTTCTTGCTTGCACCAAAAGACAATGTGTGCATCGGAAAGGAACTCATTTATTAGAACTCGTTCAACGGGTCAACCAAAAGGCTACAGATTCAAGTACCAAACAACATCCGCGGCTGCACGAACCTGCCCTTGCGCCTCGGACAGGCGCTTGGCATACTTCACCAAGTGATCGTGCTCTGACATGTAGCTGCTCTGGACGCTCCTGACCCGTTTCCTCCCAAAACTCGAGCGATGGATCCGGGTTTAGCGGCAGCCGCTCACGGCACCCTTCAGCACCCTGTCGACATGCTTATCACACCCAAGCCCGGCATCTTGCAACAGCAACAGCTGCTAATCGCAACAGCATGGTGCTGAAATCTTGTCACGCCCACACCGCTTGAAGATAGAACCCAACTACAGCTGTCAGCTATTCCCTCGGGAAAATTAGCATGTATAAGAAAAGACCCTTCACTTGGGGGAACAACCCCCCTAATGCACCAGGTTGATGATTGCAATTCCAAGTCGCGGGAAAATCGAAACATAATTTGCCTATGGATCCTTGTTACGGGGGATTGACCTCAAAAGTTGTTGGCCCTTTTTCTGGTGTCCACCAGAGGGCCCCCCTCGACCCCCCCCCCCACCTGCCGTGGCGGCTGCGCCAGGCCTGCTGGATCTCAAAGGCGGCCACCTCGCGCTCACTTCCCCCGACCGTTTTCTTTCTCTTTTTTTTTGGGGGGGGGGGAGTTCCTGGCAAGAGGTCCAGCGGCGTCTTGGCGTCCGTTTTTTGGGAAACACCAAGCCGTCAATCGTTTATTACAGTTGGTGGTTTGAGTTGGTGGACTACGGTGGATTGGAGGTTCGGGCAGGGCTTCAAATCACAAGATTTTGAGTTGCAAGGGAAGGCTCAAATTTCAGGCGATCCAAGCTCGCAACTGGCGCAATCGAGGCTCTGCCACCCTGAAAGAAAAACACGTAGCACACCGCGTCCAGCAAAAACAAGGCAAACTTGTCGCCGACAACCCCAAGCTTGAAACACCTGCCGGCTCCCCACCGCCCACACGTGTCCCACTCCTTCTTCCCAGGTCCTGACCGCCGCCCCGGCCAAAAACACCCGTCGATGGCTCCCTGCCTGATGCACCTTGGAGGAGAGGAAGCTGTGCACCCGCTGCGCCCTCCAGAGATGTATCCTGGACCTCGACTCTGCCAGCACCCCGCCATCCCCCTGCCGGAATGTGTTATGGTCTTCCCCAACAACAGGGTGTGTTTGGCGTGTTCCCCAAGGTGGGCGTGCCGGATGCTTCCTGCACTCTCTATCTACAATATCCCTCAGTAGTGAGCCGGATTTTTTGGGGAAGACCCATTCGGATGAAACAAAATGCGTTGGGCCAAAGGCAAAATCAAACACACTGTCACACAATGTGCAAATAAAATTGTTTGACCAGCAACTTGCGGTTCATGTCTCGGCTGGATATCCATCAACAACAACTCCATGCTCTAGACCTCATGCTCCAACCAACTCGCCGAACTTTCTCCTCTTTCGCAATTCGCCACGACTTGCCAAAAACGGGATGTGTCCTATGAAGAGACATCTCCAAATATCTGTAACGCGGTCGATTCGCCTTCTCCCAATCGGGATGTCTCATTTTCTTGCGTTGAACGAATTCCAACTAACGGCCAGTTCCGGAGCGCTATGAGTAGGTGTTTCCCCTTAGCAAAGGAATAGCCTTTGCAGGTTCAATGTAAAATCAAGTAAAATCCAGAAGATCTCTCTGGGGCTACACCAAACACTGGCCATACATTTGACCCTCGTCAAATGAACATGATTTTTGGCCACCAACTAACATTGAACCCACCAAATGGTACCTGTTCGCGCGACATGGTTTTTTCCTTTGAGCTCCCCTCAAACCAAGAAGGACACCGAGCCCCTTGTTTCTTTGGTATCCCTTTCAACCAGCCCCAAAAAGGGCAAACCCATCCAGATCCTCCGTGGATTCATCTGCCAGGCGTCCGCCACCACCCTTGGATGACTGCCATGCAGAAGGACTCGAAGGAGTCGTACATGGGCCTCCCATCCTCATGGGGACCACCCCCCCTCCCCCGTGGATTTCGGTGTTCCTTCTTGCTTCCATTTAAACCCCGCCCAAAAAAAAACACCCCCAAAAATACAAAAAAAAAGAGTCCGGAACAGTTCCATCAACGAATATCCATCCCTGCAGGGGCTGCTTGAAATGGTGAATCAAGCACTCACAAAGCTCATATCCCCTGGCTAGCAATGGGCGAATAAAGCATCCAAGTCCTCAAATTACTCAAATTCACAGCTGGACTCACAAGGAAGCTCGACTCTGCAAAGGGTGCACGGAGCCCTTGGCCATGCCACTGCACTGTTTGATCCTTCCAAAAGGGAAATGGCTGTGGGTCAAAACCCTGTACCCCTGGTGAACATCCGCCCCAAAATGTAGGTTATGACCCATAGCCAAAATGGCTTCTGGCAATCACCATGCATTCGGTCACAGCTCCTTTGAGCTGGCGCAAAACCGGAATCAGGGCAACAAACCCAAACTTGGGAGCACCATGCGAGACTCCGCGCGAGCATCAACCTTACCGCAGTTATTCCATTTCCCTGTGTAGGCAACCAGGGAGCCAAACTTCACAAACCTATAATTAGGCAAATTGCTGGTACCTACCATAGTGGTACCGGGATCTACTGGGAGCTGCAAGAGAGAGCAAAAAGCCTTTCCCGCCCTCAAAGCCCAAAACATACGCAGTCTTGCCCATGTCCATCGCCGCAACACTTCCATGAGTCTGAATCTGTGAAAAAGAGGCGCTCGCTTCAGGTCATGGTCGCTGGGCATGCTGTCGAGGACACTTTGGGTGGATTTCAGTCCATCCAGTTTGGAGGGTGTGCCAACCCTGGAAATGCATATCCAAATGAGAAAACAAACACGCTTCCCCAAGGCATAGATCTCGAAATCGCAAAAAAGGGTCCCTCGAGAAAAAGCAAGCACATGTGCATTAATTAATTTTGATTCAGATCGGATCTGTGACTGCTTCGAACTATGTCGTCGACCCCGTCCTGCGCCACCATGCACTGCCTCACACGATTTCGGCACTTCAGCAAGGGGTTCCACTTCCCAAACTTAATGGGATGTGTATAATATATATATATATATATACATATATATATATATATGTATATGTATATATATATAGTCATTATATGGTTATTATGAAACGGATTTAAACAATTTTAGATTGCTTGGCTTCTTTCGCCATCACCCCACTGAAAGGATAGTCGGTGTGAAATGGACAACAACAAGTGACAGCGTGTAGTTTAAACCACCAAAACGGGGGATTCTAAGGAGCCCTGCTCTGGCGCGCCAGAATGGAACCAAGAAGGCCTCTTTCTCCCAAGTCGTCGAGCATCGTTGATAAGTACATGTTCAAGTTTGGTGATCAGGGCACTGCAACTCGAAACACATTCATCTCTGGCAGTTCCATGAGCCGTTAATGAACTCGGTTGCTTTCTGCTCCCCTGCTAAAAGCTTAACTTTTAGTGGTTTGATGGAAGACCCATTAGTTGGCAAAAAGTTGAAGTCCTAACATCCAAGCACAATGCACCAAAGAATAGGTTGACTCAACTTGTTAGCCCAGCCTCGGCAGTTGGGCAGTCGGCAGTCGGGCAGTCGGCGGTCGGGCAGCCGGGCAGACAATGCGGACAGGCTTGAAGTCAAGGTGTGTCATTGGCAACCAAAAGAAAACATCTGCGAACGGTTTGTGCAACGCCTTCCTAGTAGTCACCATGTCACAAAGCTGAAATCGGTTGGCTGTCAACTACCCATATGTCGCGTGCTGCGCCAAGTCAGGGAAACGTGATACCTAAAACAGCGTGTGGCACCCTGAGCCCACAAAAGTGCCTGACCCGCACAAGTGCCTGTCCGAATGTACCTATATAACATGCGATTGTTCCTATGTATCCAGGCATAATCATCGAACTAGTCTCCCACCTTCCCCCTGACTGTTGGCGTTCGCTTCTATGTTGGCCTTACACTCAACTAAGCCAGCTTTGGTTTCAAGCTATGCTTGAACTGAACGCTCAGAACTTCCGTTTAGTCACACAAGCGATCGATATTCTGCTTTTCACAAACTGCTTCCTGTTTGAATCGCAGCCCAATCTTGAACCCCGCGATACGAACGACCTTGATCCCTAGAAGTGGGCCTTGCTTTGCGGACACTATGTTCAACCAACGGCACAGGATACCAGCTTGGTCGAAGAACAAAGACCTTGCCACCGGCGCACTTGGGTCATATTCAAACCCTGCTACTCTGCTACTGAAATGACGCAAACCATGCAAAGAATTGGACGGGCTTCTTGGTCTTGTCGCACCCACTATCAAGGCCAAAATAGAAAGATCGAACAGGGCTGCCAAAGAACAAACACATTTGTAGGAGTAAACTGTTCATATCTATTCATCATTTCACCCTTTCCCTGTCCAACTCCTGGTAGCTCCTCTCCCTCGAGAAACCTCCCTCGCCACGAGAAAACCGAAACATCCGGGGGGCCGGAGGTGCTCCACGTGCCGCCGCCGCAGCTGATCTCGGGCCCTGGCCGAGCCGTCGCTGGGAATTTCGCCCCTGGAGTCCGTCCAATTTGCTGGTGGCGTCCATTGAAACGATCGCCACTTGGGAGGTTTATTTTTTTGGAGAAATGCCACTTTTGGAGGTTCCATCAAGGGAAATTGTGGAAACAACTTCTGTCACTTACTGCAAGCATAGGTTTCCCTGGACAAATAATTAGAAGGGTGGGAAATGATCAATTTACAGGTTCAACGTGGAAGCCCCCACTTTGGAAGACTTGGTTCCACAGCCAATTGGGGGCTTGCTAGCCTGAGGCCCTGATTCCATTGCAATCGCCACCCAAAAAAAGGACTTTGAGGGACACCCCAGCAAGTGCGGCTTGTTGTGGATTTGTGAGTGAGACCCCATGTCCATGATCATAGACCAATTTTGACACCTCACATGGCGGTGGGTCAAAATTAGTTACCCAAAATGGAACCTGGCAAATGGACACATAGACTAAAACCTGCGGTCCCCCGAAGGTTTAATTTTGACCCATGACCACATGGGAAAATCACTGAGTCAACCCCTCCCTGGGTCATGAAATGAAGTGCCCGCAATATCACTCATCAAAGTGACCCGGGTTTATTTGAAGAGCCAAGCCCGGGGCTGAGCTGTGAGACCCTCTGAGTCTGGAAGCTTGCTAGAACAATTGCGCGACCCTATGACCTTTACCAAATGGACTGGGAGTTCTGTCCGGGCTGAGCATTCTTTGGCTGAGTTGCTGGCTGAACATGTAGACTCCTCAAACTCAGAATGCCATCCACCCCCCAAGTCACCAACAAGCCGTTGCTCGTCATCCAGTAGGGTTTCACTTTGACCTATGCCGCAATCCCATGGCCGAAATGCAGAACGGCCAGCCCTTGTGTTCAGTGGCTGGAAAGCAGGTTTGGGTGTACATTGGTCAGTTTCAGTGTTCCATGTATTTATGTATATATGGCGGCTTGGTTGGGTCGTTTGGAAATAACGAACCTGCGTTGCGTCAAATACGAGAGACCCTTTGACATCCTCTATCTGTGTGACTTGTCAAACCTGTTGCAAAACCCCAAGAAATAGCTGTTCGGGTCTGCTAAGCACAGTGGAACCCATGTTCCGGGGGTGAAGCTGCAATGGTTCGAAGAATATGTTCGATGGACCAAGTTCGAACATTTAAGGCCACTGCATCGATTCATTTGGTGGAGCTTCTTTGAACCGCATGGCTGGGAACCACCAAGACACCGCCGAGGACCGGATCCGTGCCAACTTGGGGTCCCAGGCCCCGCAAGCCAGCCGGACCCTTGGGGTGGCTCAATTTTGGGGGGCCCACAAAATGGTGGTTTTACCATTTGTCTAAGAAAAACCAGCAAAAAGGGGGTACCCTCAACAAAAACAACAGACACACCTCAAAGTTTGTTACACCGAAGGATGGCGGAGGAGGGATTGACACATTTTTTGCAGCACTCATCGGCCCGGTCGGCCTCACGCGCTCTTCCGAGGGGCCCGGCGGCAGCGGCGGCGCCGGTGCATTCGCTGGCGAAACTGGGGGGGCCGGCGGGGCCGGCGGGGCCGGCGACGCCGGGTCACCTGCATTCGATGCGGGTCAAATCTTGCTTTGTCAGATGCTTGGCATCCCTGGGTTCCATACCGGCTTTTTCGAGGGTACCCTGAAAACGCTGGTCAAAAGGGAAACCAACGTGAACACCTCTGTAAGCCACGGAAACTGGTTTCAGGAAACTCCAGGAGTCCCCTGGTTTGTCTGGGCATCGCTCCATTTTGAGACCATCTGTCAATTCAGCACCCCAGACCTTGAGATACTTGACGTTGGCAAGAGGCCTTATCTCGTTTAAAAAACAAGAAGAGGAAAAGGTAGAACACTGCCTAATTGTCATTAGGCCGTACCTCATACCAGGTACCACCTAAACCTCTGCGGCCCTGGACTCTGAGCTGTGAATCCGCCCCGAAAGCTCCGGGTAGCACCCACGCCTATGGCGGAGGGCCGTGCGCACTTCAGCCAGCTCCGGCGCCAGGCGCGCTGGACCCGGAGCGCTGCCAGGTGCATGGCCACCATGGGCAGAAGCCATGGCCTGCCCCATGCCGTTTTCCTCTTATGCTTTTGTTGGCCCAGCCCTTGGGGCCCTTGGGCTTGGTTTCTTTTAGTTTGTGGTAGGGCCCTCAAAGAACGCAGTTGGATCAAAAGTTGGAAAAGGTCAAAATGGGAAACTCCTCAAAATTTGAGTTTTTGTTTTTTCTTCTTATTTTAGTTTGCCCTTGAAGGCCCTTTAAAAACAAAGTGAACTTGGGCACTTTTGCTGGAGGAGTTCCACCCCTGACGGCCAAATCCCGCGGTTCTGATCGATTCGGGGTCACCATTTCACACGGACTCGCCATGAGCAAGGGGAGTCATGGGAGGGTTATAGCCCTTAGTGGTTCCAATGACTCCCCTGGCCATGGCTTTGAATCTGTACACGCACGGTAGACAATCACTTCCGAACGCTGAAAAAAAAAATCTGAACGCTGCCACTTTCGATCACTTCCGAACACTCAAAAAATCACTTCACAACACTGAGCACTCAAAACGCCGAAAGGGTTGCAAAACCCGGTCATGTAAAAATGACCACTTCCGAACGCAAGCAGGCATCCCAGCCAAGGTGTGCAAAATCTAGTGGTTCTGGGGGTGGGGAGGGGGGGATGGTAAGCACAACCCGGACTGCTCTGCAACCAAATGTGCAAATTCATCTGCAAATTCATCTGGTTCTGGGGGTGGGGGTGGGGTGGGGGGGGGCATGATAAGCACACCCGCTGAACTGCTTCATCACAGCAAGGGTGTGCAAAATCCAATCAATTTGTTCTTGGGGGGAGGGTGGATGATAAGCACACCCGCCCAGCTGAACCAGCCCAGGGGGGGCATTATAAGCACACCCGCTGAACTGCTTCATTCCAGCCAGTGCAAAATCCAATCAATTTGTTCTGGGAGGGTGGGGGGGGGGATGATAAGCACACCCGCTTAACTGAGCTCTAACGAGGGCAATTCTCTGCGGCTCTGCAAGCTGCTGTGAACATGCGGTTTCCGAAGACAACACCTGGTGGGTCCCTCCCTCCCTTTCTCCCCCAAAACAAACAGAGTTTCCCCAAACATACCCCAAACTTTGCTCTAGGTCAACGAGGCCAAACGCTAGGCTCTGCAAGCTGCTATGAAAGCGCGTGGACGCGTGGGTGCCGATTCTTCTGGCCCTAGCGTTCAAGAGCGAAGCGCTCGCTGGTCTCGGTGCAGCGCGTGGCATGCGGCTGCGCTTTCAGCGTTCGTAAGCGACTAGTGCGTTTTCCGGCGTTCCGAAGCGATTATTAATCAGCGTTCCGAAGCGACGGTTTTCCCAGCGTTCAGGAGCGACGCACTCACCTGCCCGAATGCAAGCGAACCAACCACATCCCACTGCGAGACCCGAGTGAGTTGCAGTCAGAGGACCTTTTTTGAACTCGCCTAACACCCCGGGGTTCAGCTTCGACAATCCTGCAGTGTTTCTTGTTGTTTTGTAGGTGGGGAGGGGGGGTTCGGCCTTTCAATTCAAACGCAATCTGGACTGTCTATACAAAAGTAGGACCGCCCCCCACCCCCAAATTACAATCAACTATGGCTGCTGCCCCGTGCCGCTCAGGTGTTTGATGGCGTCGATCTTGTTTACCCTCTCACCAACAAACCTGCAAGTACGCAAGGCTCCTTCTTGAAAGGGAAAGCTTTCGTCTTCCGACATCGCTGATCAGCTTCCATGAAAACATATATGTGTCAAAATAGAGGTACCCAACAAAGAGGTGGTTTCCCTTTGGCTTCCCTCTAAACCAGACCCGAAATGGGAACCCTCAAAACACACCGACACATTGTAACTACCGCCTAAGAAGCATCCTCCCAAGCGAAGCGATCGGCCGAGAGAAATGCGAAGAGAAGCTCCGGAGCATCGGGACTTGCGGTTCGCACCGTGGGCCCAACCAATGCGAGAGTCGTGGCAAATCCTCGGGCGAAGTTCCTTGCTTGGCCAAGAAAGAGAAACATGGGTGGCCCGCTTGGCTTCGGCGGCCCACCCCTCCGCACAGTGACATGACCGCCAATAAGCTTGTCACTCAAGTGGGGTTTGTTCCCTGTATCTCCCCAAGCAACTCACCAGACCAGTGACCGCTTGGCACCCGACTGCCAGCCTTTGCACCAGGCGCCGCTTCCAATGCAGCGGCTTGGTCCCCAGGAAGCGCTGCAAGCGCTCAGACACCATCGCGACTTGCCGTTTGTGCGCTCAAACGCCTCGCTGTTTGCTGCTTTTGGCTGCTTTTGGCTGACCCAGTCGTGTGCCTTGTCTCGCAATGACTCCGCATGCATGGCTGGCGGAAGGGCATTATGGCCTGCCAAGGAAATGGTATATTGTGGACCGTGGTTCTTACTGGCCCCCCGCATCAAGATGGCAACGCATCAATCTCTCAAGTGACATGAGTCGTTCTCTATGTTTAGACAAGCCATGTGATCGGGCAGCCAGCCAATCTGCGAAAACCACATCCCCTGCCATGCAGTCTATGCCATGCGAGCCATGGTCAAAATTGCTTGCTCCCCTAATCTAGTTTGTCCCTTGATCATCTACCCAAAATGAATCACAGACCAGCGAACAAATCGACCGAACCTCGTTTGGACCTGCCTTTGGAGAGAGGAACCCAGCTTGGTTTTGAAGGGGACCAATGGCAATGTGTTTTGTTGACCAAACCAAGGGGATCAAGGTTGTCTTTGAGAACCAGGGTTGTCTTTGGGAACCAAGGTTGTCTTTGCGAACTATGGCAATTTGTGTTGGGAACCAAGGTTGTCTTTTGAACAGGTTGACCATAAGACAAGCCCATACGTCTCTGTCGGCCTCTCCAACTGGCACCTCGGCTTGCGGCTCCCACGGACTGGAACAGTGTGGGCAATGGGTTGCCCTTTGGTTTCCCCTCCCAACCCCAAAAAGGGTAGCCTCAAACAAACGAACAAACAAACAAACAATCAGGCAAGCAGCAAGCAAGCAAGCAAGCAAGCACAAGCACAAGCACAAGCACAAGCACCAGCAAGCAAACACAAACAAACATCCAAACAAACAAGAAACAAGAAGATAAAAATCAAGCAACCAAACAAACAAGCAATCAAACAAACAAACACACACACACACAAACACAAACAAACACAAACACACAAACAAACAGAAACTTACACGAACAAACACAAAACAACCAGACAAACATACCAACAAACATACAAACAAACATACAAACAAACACAAACAACCAGACAAGCATACCAACAGCAAAAACAACAAACACACAAACAAACAAACAAACAAACAAACAAACAAACAAACAAACAAACAAACAAACAAATTACACCAGCCTCGACCCCAAACAGCAAAAAGGCATGACAAGTCGGTGTAACCCAAAAAAAGGCTTGTCTCCTTCATGTAAGGTGCGAAATTAAGTAGCTTATGTGAGCAACACATAGTTTCAATCAGTCCATGTGTGTCCCTGCAGGAAGTCCCCATGTCAATGCCACGTTCGAGAGTGAAGGCCCCGGGGATTCGGGGTGAATCAACCTAGCACCTGGCAGTAATCAAAGGAAGTTTCGACGGAACTTTCGTAGTACGGACACTCACTGCACTTTTCCATCACCGCAGCATTTGGTGGCCGTCTCGCTACTCTGATCATGCTCAGCAGCTTGCGGCCGAGACTGGACACATGCCACTTCTGGTTGCTATCTTCTTCTCGAGCTCGTCTAAAGGTCTTGCCACAAGCACAGCAAGAGAGCACTTGCATAGACTTGCAGACTGCGCCTTGTCGCGTTACGGCCGGGACATCCTCGCCTAGCAACGCAGACACACGCCGCGCCAAATTGGCAAGCGTCAGCAAAGGTGCCCGTTTGGCGCGCACCTCTGTCACCCGGCACAGCTCCAGAAAATCCTCAGTGTTTGAGCCGGCAGTAGCTTGGTCATCCAAGGCCTTCATCTCTGTCGTGCATGGCTTTGCTCCATGCGCCCAACGCCGCACCATTCTGGAACAAGCTTGGCTTTGAACGTCAGCTCCAGCCCTGCTCCATCTCGGAAACGTGTGACATTTAGAACTTTGCCCCAACTTACCAGTGCTGGCTGCACAGTGGACACCACCGGCTTGGCCGGTTTCATCTTGGAGTTGGCGCTTCTGGTTTGCAGATCGGTGTTCACATGTGTGGTGAACGACCGGCGGCCGTCATTCCAACACACGCCGCTGGCAACAACTTCTGGGCCTTGCGTTCACTCAGCTCCAGCAGCACTGTCATCCAAGTTGTCAAGGTCAGCAAAGTAGGTTGCCAGGAGCTCCTATGCATCAACCAAGCTTTTCGAGGAGAACTCGACAAGTATTCCGCAATGTTGCTGGGGAGTTTGCCACGCTCGGAATCGATGTTCAAAGCGTAGTGGAGGCGAAGCTGTGTCGTCAAAGAAGAAATGGATGGGCCATGTCTGTAGCACGTGTTGGTCTTGATGCTATCAGCACATCCCTCCAGCTTGGTTTCCCGACAAGCCACGTAGGCTGCGAGCAAGTAAATCAGAATCTCGCCCGGAGCTGCCAAATTCAAGTCGAGATCTCGGAAAAGAACGTTGGTTGCGATAATGAAATGGAATTGCTCGGATTTCCAAAAGTACTCAATGCGGGAGGCTAGCACAAGCGCCACGCAATACAGCTCACGGTGTTCCATGGGTCCAGAGACTGTAGGGAAGCTAGCGCCTCAGAGAATGGCACCTTACGACGTCCCGCCATGAAAACCCTTGAGCCCTCGCACTTGCAAGCCCTGGCACTTTCGGACACCTGCAAAACAGCAGCGTCCATATTTTCAACCCTTCTGTCAGACAACGAGACATGTCAAAGCTGCGACCTTGCCATCACGAAGGTGTGAAATGCTTCAGCGAAATGCGTTTGTCAGTGGGACTGGATTACATAGGTGAGGAAAAAGCGTCGCAGGACCAGCTAGCGAAGCGAAAGACTGTATAGATATGATTTTGGCCGGGGCACATGGCTATCCAACAGAAGGTGCTAAATAGTGGCAACAAGATAGGAGGCAAGGTTTACAACAGGACTGCCAACAAGAAAGGGTGCTCGAACTACAGTGATGCTACCAAGAGGAGACTAGAAGTCTAGGCTTTGATCGGGGCAAGCCACACAGAGCGTAGGGCCCCTTCAGTGAGGCGTCTATCCTACGCCTCGTCTCCACTCAAGGGCAACATTCTGGGCTCGCTCATGCTCATGCTGAGGCTGATCTACTTGTGACACATGTGCAGAAGAGGCTTGACCGCTTCCGGCTGGGGTTGAAACGTGAAACTGCAAAGGCGAGGTCTTAGATCTCAACCTCCTGCTTGGCTTGACACTAGGTATTGCCACTTGCAAGTTGGCAGTGCTTAGCACTGCAACTGCCTGCGCTGTTCCTGCTGGTGGCCCCTTGCAAACCGTCTTGGGCAAGTTGTTGCAACGGTACCGCCAGGACCACGTCCTCCTGCAGGTTGTGCATGTTAGGATCCCCTCTTCGGGGGGTCCAGGTTGCTTTCCTACCTTTCGATTCCAGTGTAAGGAGTGTCCCCCTTTATTGTAATGCTGGAGGTCACGCTCCAGCTGATCGAGCCGGGACTCCGCTCGAGCATAGCCTTCTTGTCTGAGCCAGCGCTCCTTCGGTAGGGCAGCCTGCCGACACTGCTTGCTTGTTATTTTGAGGCGCACGTGTTTGAGTCTTTGGACATAAAGACCACATTTGCAGCACCACACACCGGGCTGCTCTGGTCTTGGGCCTATTACGTGGCCGTTCTCCTCGTACTGGTCTGAAGAGCCAACCGCGGGGTTGCTTTGCATGGCCACCTGAACAGCTTTGCTGATGCTTTGCTTATAGCTGCGGATGTACCGCTGCCATATCTGTACGAGTGTTCGCTGCATGGCCTGGATATGCTGCAAAGGGATTGCGTATCCCGCCGGCACTATGGTGGCATAGCGCGTGCGTGCTGGGAGAACATCTCCATTGTGTCCCAGAAGCTGAAACAAGGGCTGGCGCAAGTCATCGTGCAAAGGGCAACACCAAGAGAGGTGCAGCACAGTGGGCGAAGCCCCACACGGGCATTTCGGCATCTCCTTCTGCTTACGATGCCTGGCATTGGATTCATCGGTGAGCAAGCCACCTGCCAAAAGGCGACGCAAGACTCCCATGGCCATTACTGTGGGCTCGTCGAATTGCTCTTGGACCTGCCGATCCCACTACTGCAACTTCCTAGTGCAACTCACTACTGCAACTTGCCAGCGGGTGCTACTTGCTAGTGCCACTGGCTCTGCTGATGCGCCACAAGGATGCAAACCAGTCAGTTATTTGGCTGGGCTCTGCTGCAGATGCGCCACAAGGATGCAAACCAGTCCTCTGCTGATGCGCCACAAGGATGCAAACCAGTCAGTCACGGCCACTCTGATGCGCCACAGAGATGCAAACCTGGCCCTGCTGATGCGCCGCAAGGATGCAGACCAGTCAGTTAAGGCCACTTGGCTGGGCTCTGCTGGTGCGCCACAAGGATGCAAAACAGTCAGATACGGCCACTTGGCACTGGGCTGGGCTCTGCTGGTGCGCCACAAGGATGCAAACCAGTCAGTTAAGGCCACTTGGCTACATGCGCCACAAGGATGCAAACCAGTCAGTTGCGGCCACTTGGCTGGGCTCTGCTGATGCGCCAGAAGGATGCAAACCAGTCAATTAAGGCCACTTGGCTGGGCTCTGCTCATGCGCCGCAAGGACGCAAACGGCCACTTGGCTGGGCTCTGCTGGTGCGCCACAAGGATGCAAACCAGTCAGTTAAGGCCACTTGGCTACTTGGCTGGGCTCTGCTGATGCGCCACAAGGATGCAAACCAGTCAGTTGCGGCCACTTGGCTGGGCTCTGCTGATGCGCCAGAAGGATGCAAACCAGTCAATTAAGGCCACTTGGCTGGGCTCTGCTCATGCGCCGCAAGGACGCAAACGGCCACTTGGTTGGGCTCTGCTGATACGCCAGAAGGTCACCTGCGCCTGACCAAGAAGTGCCTCGCTGGCTTCCACAAAGCAGTTCAGTATCAGCCGGATGTCAAGGTATTTGTTCAGCTGATGCGCGCAAACCTGCACTTGGCCAAGCATTTACCTACTACCCCTAAAACCTACTATTTTTAGGGTAAAAATAAAAAAACCCGGGTTTGTCGAAAAATACCTGGTTTCGGACGTGTTTAACCCG